TTTAAGTAGCGGTAATATTTTGATAGGCAAAACCAGAATGTAAACATAGGTATAGGAACACCTAAATATATCATAAAATGCTAAGCATAATAAGTCAAAATTACATTACACAAAACATAGATTCATACAATAGGAGAATGTATTAAAGAGAGGGGAGGGTAACCTTCTCTGAAGTAGTGAGCATAGAACAATGAGCCTGACCACAGAAAAAATTTCCACCAACACGAGTTCGGGTGTGGTGTACCCGTTTGAGTATGTATATATAGATGTATGTATATTTTGTTGAGAGGATATAAGGGTTTCAGAATACAAAATTTAAAATATGGTCAAAGGATTGTACACTTAGCTAAATTGAGTGGCTTGTTGTATTAGAAATTTAGTCAATTGGATTTAAATATTGCCAAATCAAACTAATTAGCTAAATTCGATCGAAATAGAAAAAGACAAGTAATTATCGATAAATTATTTGAGGTTCTTAATTTAAACAAGTCAAGGACATAAGTTTATCAATAATAATACATAATTATAAAGTTAACTAATTTAAAGGAAGTAAATACATATGTGTATTAAACACAATTTTATATATATATATATATATATATATTACTTTAAAAGCATGAACTCCTAAATTGAATGTTAAATTACTATAATAATCCTAACTTAAGTTGTGACTTTTTCGATGAGTTATGACGTTTTCGATAAGTTGTGACTTTTTTCGAATGGTTGTGATTTTTCAATGAGTTATGACTTTTCCAAAGAGTTGTGACTTTTTCATTAAGTTGTAACTTTTCCAAAGATTTGTGAATTTTCCAATAAGTTGTGACATTTCCAAAGGGTTGTGACTTCTCGAAACGGTCATGACTTTTCAGATAAGACATAAAAAATATTTGTTCATACTACCCTTTGTTAATTGTAAAATAGAGAGGCTTTCTCTCATTTTTCAACCAATTTTTTTTTAATCTTCTACTCTTCTTCTTCTTGCATTTTAAATTTTTTTGTGTGATTTATTGTCGTTGAGCGAATTCGAAGTTTAGCGAAATATGAGGTATCACTATTCTGATGAAGTAAGTCATTCTATCCTAAGAGGGTCTATTCCATAACCTCGAGTACTTGAGAAAAGTAATTTTGATGATATAATGATTATTGTTTTTTCTTAATATATACATTAGTATCTAATGTTCCAATATATAAAGTTAACATGATGTAGTCTAAATTCATTTGTTTTTGTTAAAAATTTCTCTTCTGATATAGATGCATGCTTCTGAATATCTTTTCCAAAATTTAGAGCATTGTGACAATTTATTTTTTATGCTCAACACAAAAGAATGACTTTATTTATCAATGCTACTTATGTAATTTAGACTCTCATGAAGTTTGCTTCAAAATAATAATAACTATATAAACATTGCCCTTTTGTTTTACTTATTTACTATTTCTTAATATTTTAGTATTTTAGACGAAGAAAAGTTCATATGACTTGTAATAACGCCAGTTGAAGTTTTGTATTTATTTTAATTTTTATTATTTATTTAATAGTTAATTTTATGTGATAAATATTTTCATTAATGCAAATGTATATTTATATTTAGGTAGGTATTTGTATTTAAATTAAAGTATTATATATGTCACAAATGTATTATCAAGTTAAAATGAAAAAACACTCACAACCAATGTAAAAATATGTGAATATATAAAATATAGTTGTTCTTCACATGTTCATATGACATCTAAACAATTTAATGTGAAATACACATGCAAAGCACATCTGGTTAGATGACAAGAAAATACAAAGCAAATATTGTCTATAAGGTAATATTAGTGAGATAAGACTAATTACATGATTATCTCATCAAATTGAAATAAATATATACATTATTGCATTTAACTAATAAAAAATTTCATTGACCATCTTCATAAATTTGCGTGAATAAGAAATATATATTACGATCCACGTTGAACATTCACAAAAGAATCCGCAGTATTATTTTTTCTTAAGCTTATTATTCTAATCTTCACTTAAATAAGAAACACTATTTACTATAACATATATTTTTGGAATTGATAATCACGTGCAACGCACGTGTCAAAAAGCTAGTATATATATATACACACATAGTTGTAGAATTATTTCTGAAAACTAACAAAACAATTTAGATAAAAGATTTAAAATATTTTTGGATTTTTCAAAAATAATTATTTCAAATTGAAGAAGGTTGATAATTAATATGAATTGCATAGGATCAAAATTGGGTGTCAACACTCGAGATGATTGAAAAGCGTCCTATATTATAAATGTATATAATCAATGTTTATACACACTTATAAAGTGCAAGTACATTATTTAAAAATTACCTACAATTGATTTGTGTATGTGTTGTTTAATTAAGTATAACAATATAAAAGTGTATATAAGAACCTTTATACACTATTATACATGTATATATAAGTCTATACGCTATTATAACATTTAAAATTTATCCAGTACAATTATAAATTTATATAATATTAAACTTTTGATTTTATTAAAAGAAATCTAATAATCGATTCGATTCGATCAGTAAATAAATCTTCTTAAAAACATTGATACCCACAACTAGGGGTGTTCATGGTTTGGATAAAAACCGATTCAAACCGAAAAACGAAACCAAACCGATTAAATGAACCGATTTAATTTGGGTTTTGGTTTGGTTTGGTTTTAGATTGTTAAGAACCAATAGTATTTGGTTTGGTTATGGTTTTGTTAGAAAAAAATCGAAAAAATAACCGAACCGAACCAACAAGTTATATACATAAATTTTATTATTATACAAACATAATATATTATATTCATAAACAATTTTAAAGATTTTATATATGTTTCATAAAAATTTATTTATAATTTACTTATGAAAGAAAAAATGTCTAAGGTGAGAACATTTTTCTTATTTTATAATTTACTTGTGAAAGAAAAAATGTCCAAGGTGAGAACATTTTTCTTATTGGTTTCATGTATATGAGTGTCTATGGAAATTCTTTGTGGGACTGAAAATGTCATTGTCTCTTCCTTCTATGCCAAAATAGTGAATTTTGAAGTTTTATTCAGTAAATTCAATGATAGAAAGTTTTGTAATGCCAGTCATTCTAACTATTTTTTTGTTTGAATGGATTGTTGTCATTTTTTTCACGTTTTGAATGAATTGTTTCTTTTATTTTTATGTATGGTTAATAACCGAAAAACCGAACCAAGACCGAAAACAACCAAACCGATAAATGTATATTATATTTGGTTTGGTTTGGTTTTCATAATTTTAAAACCGATTAAGTTGGTTTGCTTTTGGTTTTGACCAATAACCGACCCAAACCAAACCGTGAACACCCCTACCCACAACTATAATGTTTTATCATAATATATTCAAAATCTTAGATGGTTAATTTCTTTCATTTTGTTAAAAAGGGGAACTTTCAGATCTAGCCACTTAAAAATAGCTTAATTACGCTCCATATCTATAGTTTGCTAATTACGATTCGTCGTTACATATTTAGGGAGGAAAGTGGTGAGCGAGATTGAGAGAGGAAGGAGAGAGGCAAGCAGAGAGGTGAATTATATATGTATATCGGTTAGATAATTGTATATATGTAATTGCTATACATATGTATTTGTATATCTAACGATCGAGATTGGGAGAGGGAGGAGAGAGATTAGTGCAATTGGGAGAGGGAGGAGAGAGACGAGCGAGAGAGGGCAATAATTTGTATAATTCATATCTTGTTTGTATAATTTGCAGGTATGTTTGAATAATTTGCGTATTTTTGTATAATTGAGTAATATAAAGTTTGAAATTATACAAATATGATAAAACTCAAAATAGCGAATCAATACAAACAGAAACATAGGAACTTTAAACAATTATACAAATTATATTATACAAATTACACTATATAATTTATATTCTACAAAATACAAAAACTACACGTTTATACAAACTTTAAAAAGTTATATACAAAAAGATTGAATGTATATGGTGATAAAACTGAAATATCAGTGGATATCATCATCATATACAAATACAAATATAAATTAAACAAAAAATGGTTAGTTGTGAATTATACAAATGTGGTGAATTATACAAACGTGACTAATTATTAAAACTCAAAGTCAGCTCACGTAATTAATGGTTAATGTTAGTCGCGAGTGATAATTATAGCAAACTATGCTATGCTGACTAATTAAGTAATATAAGTTTGCTTAACGATGTAATTTTCTCTTTTTAAAATAACTAACATCATGCGTTAGTGGAGTCCAACACAAGGACTGCACCCAAGGGGTAGAAGGTAGGCAGCCTATCTTAATGCAGGTATTAGTGCCTACTTCGAATATCCAAATTCATGTCCTATAGGTCACATAAAAAACCATACCAATGATTCAAGACTCCCGTTCCGAATGAACATTTAAATTAAATCATTGTTATTTTTCATTTTTCTTTAGATTTAATTTAACATTATTACTTTGCAGTTCCAGTGAAAAAAATGAGTAGGCAACTTTCGTTAGAAATCATGGTAATCACGTAATAAATTTACATTATATGGAAACACTAAATAAACGTGAAAAAATACTTGACAAATTGACTCATAATATGAAAATAATAGATAAATATACTCATAATATGAAAATATTAAATAAAAATAACAAAAAAAAATTTCTTTAGATTCAATTAAACATTATAAATAAGAAGACAACATTTGTTAGAAACCATGGTAATCACGTAATATATTCATATAATACAATAACACCGAATAAACGTGACAATACACTTGAAATAGAGTCATAATATAAAATTGTTAATACATGTGACAACAATAAGACTTATGGTATGAACATATCAAATGAATGTTACAATACTCGTGAAATATTTTTGTCCAAAAAAAAAAAAAGAAACGCACTTACACACCTACTATAAATTATACAATTATTCCTCTCAGAATTGCTCAACCTTATACAAAAAAACATCTTTTCTTCTGTGATGGAAAATGAGCCCAAGAAAGGTAAGCAAAAGATTGAGATGCAGTTAATTGAGTCTGAGAGAGCACGCGCTATAAGTTTTTCCAAAAGGAAAAAAACCTTGTTTCAAGATGCAGAAAAGCTTGCAACTCGGAGCGGAGATGAAGTTGGTGTTATGCTCTTTTCACCAGGTGAAAAACCATTTTCTTATGGTTCCACAAGTATAGAAGAAATAATTGATAAATTTTTAAAAGTGAAACTAGAGCAACGTGATCATGCTGAGGGAAAATCTGTTGGATTTGGGGCATTTAAAGATCTTCGCAAAGAATTGCAAGAACTTAACGAGAAAGAAAGAAGACGAATATTAATGTATAAGATTATGCACCCTGGCTCAGAAATACCTTCGGATAAACACATGGAGGAGAAGAAGGTGGCAATGTTGTTGTGGGTAAAGGAAATTTTAAATGAAACAAAAAGTGCTATTTTGAGCAAGCATTTCAAGTTTGATTTAAATGTTCTCCCTGAGCCAGAAGAACACGAGAGTTCTTGAACTCATAATTCTCATGGAGTTGGTAACTGAAAATCTTGATATTTGAGCTATACTTGTAGAAGTTCTTATCAGTGATCGAGTATGCTAATAAGATTTTCTCTATTATTAAGTCACTTTTTAGTCTTCAAATATCCATTTATATGAGGTTTTAGGCCACAAAATAGAAGGTTATGGAGCTTTTATATTATTAAGTCAAATATTTTTTGTTTGTTTTATCTTTAGACTTTAATGATGCTTTGTGTTGTCTAGAATGGTAAATCAATTGAAATATTTTATTGAAGTAGTAAATAGTGTAAAATTGATGGATCAAAGAAAACTCTAGTATACTCATTTATTTGTTTTATGTTTCCATCTTTGTCAAGTTTAGTGCATTTACATTTACATCAAGATTAGCATTGTGAGATGGTGAGTCTCTATAATATGAGCTTCTCGAATATTTATTGATTTTATTAGTATATTCAATATGTCAAGAGGGATTGCGCTTGAATTTTCAACTCAATACAAGTAATAGAAAAGAGTTTTTATTTATTTATTTTGGAGCACATTAGCACCCAATACAAGTATGTATGGCACCCGAAACTATTACATATGCCATACAAGTGTGATGCAGTTTGCTTATCCAAAGGGAAGGTAATTAGACATGAGAAATTTATATAGATTGAGAGTCATTTTTTTAGAAGTGGGAAAATTGTTGTGTTATTGCAATAATAAGAATAAGAATTTTATTCTTTATTTTTAATAATAAAAAAAATTATTTTATTTTATATTAAATTTAAATATTTTAATTATGTTGAGATGAGCTAATATTAAGAATTTGAATAAAAAAAAAAATTCTTATAAAAAATATAAGAAATAACTGATGACTAAAAGAATTTATTTAAATTAAATTTGGATTGAGTGTTTTTTTAGACCAAAAGGTGGAAGGAGGGGTATCTTTGAAGCAAAAACAAAGGTGGAGGGTATTTTTAGACCAACTCGTGGAAGGAGGGTATTTTTGAGTCATTTCCAGTAGGTTAGGAGTAATCTTGGCCCTTTTCCCATCATTATAAACAGAAACACAGTTTAGACAACTAAAAAATTGAGTTTCGATAAACTCAACCCAATAGTGAAAATAATTATGTAGAATAACCCCCAAAGGATTCAGTTGTCACTAAACAATTAACATACCTCAACCATGAAAAGTAACACATAGCCGGACTCTAGTCCTTACCCTGACTCACCTTAATATGGTCCATATCCCACATGATCACATACAAGTAACCAAGACTACTCAGAGATCCAACATGCAACAATTACATTGATAAAAGTAAACTAGGTTCACTCATGAAACCATAAACACATACTTGGTCCTATCAAGGGACCCAAACTCAAACTATTAGCGTACCGACGTGGTATTCGAGCCATCCGTAGTTAGTGTACCAGCATGGAACCCGAGCCAACCATATGTGGATATCCTCGTTCCAGGCGTGGTAACCAAGCCAAATATTAGTATATATATACCAGACGTGGTATTTGAGCCAACTATGAAGATATCTTGTACAAAGCGTGATACCCGAACCAACCATCAAACACGGACAATCATGCACAATCACAAACATGATGAACCATAACACTTGAAACCATAAGTCACATAACTAGTTCATTGGATGAGATTATCAACATGCTTAACTACATATGTTTCCTATGTATTCCTTACCATGCCTTGCACAATGATAGTACAAATTGTGGACATGCATACACACATAATCAGAAACGTACAACCATCCTAATAAAGAACTCAAGGCAATCAAGAACGGGAGAACCATCCTCTAGTAATTACTTCATCTCCACCCTAACAACACATAACAACATTTCTAACCATATATATTATGTGCCCAAAATCCTTTTACATGCCATTTCCGAACATCTACATGATATAATATAGTAATACGGGTCTATACAATGCAATTGAAAGAAACCTAGCCTACCTGGTTGTCAAGTAACAATTGGTGAATCTTGCCCAAGAATTTGACTCCACGGATATCACGACCTAACCCACCAGGCCATGCAGGCACCTAATATAACAGCTAGATAGGAGAACCCTTATTACCTAAACCGGTTAAAACATACAAAAAAATAAATAATTTTCTATTAAAGGCTCATTAAACATATTTTTTTTAAATCAAACTTTAAATGACTTCTTATATGAAAGACTAAAAAACACCACGCAAGGAACTAGTCTAAACGGTACAAAAGCTACAAAGGAGGTATAACTTGTACAAGAAAATAAGACACAACTCCCACCATAATAAAAAAAAATGAACATGGAAGCTATTGGAGATCATAATCTTATATACCTATGATACATCACTGAACCTACAACCAGACTATGTCAAGTGACATAACAAGAGTAGTATCAGTACAAACACACGAACTGGTAGGCGTCATCGGTCGATCTAAATCTATCACATAATATAATATAGAAAATCAGAAAAGATATGTCATGAAAGTAGACAATCTCACTTCTCTATTCATATACTCTTACCCTTCACAAGTAAATGTCATGACTAAGTGCTTTAATTACATCACCCTAAGGCTTTCCCAGCCTACCTAGAACATCACAATATTACACAATTGTAGCTTAACCCTTATACCACATTAATGTTAACAAATACCATGCCATCACGAGCCCTATAAACTAACCTACTATCATTTACAATTACTCATGCCAACTCTCTGGCCTATGTTTGGAATATTAAATGAAACTGGCACCTTAGACCAACTTATCCATGGTAAGACTTAGTCCAGAACTCCCTACAACCAAAGTTTCATGATGAAAAAAAGAGAAAAAATTGGGTCCCATAAGCTAAATTCAGTAGTTAAGATAATTATGCAGAATAGCCCTAAGAATTTAAATGCAATTAACCAATTAACCTACTGTTACCATCACAAGTAACACACAGCCTCGAAATCCCAGTCCTTACCTTCACTTATCATAACATGATCCATGTCCCATATGGGTCACGTACAAGCCAGACCTCAGATCAACTGACTTTTTCAGTAATCGAACCACTCAGGGATTCAACATGAAACAATTACATCATGCAAGAACACAACAAGTCCACTCATGAGACTATAATCACATAGTTGGTCCTCTTACGAAACCCAAAACTGTTAGCATACAGATGTGGTATCTGAGAAATCCTTAGTTAGTGTACCTATGTGGTATCCAAGCCAACTATATATGTATATCCACGCACTAGGCGTGGTACCCAAGCCAACCGTTAGTATATAATAGGTGTTGTATCTAAGCCGATCATGGGGATATCATGTACCAGGCATGGTACCCGAGTCAACTAGAAAACACAAACAATCATGCACAATCAGATAGCACAATGAACAAGAGTACTTGAAAACCACAAGTCACAATCACAAGTTCATTGCATTAGATAACCTACTTGTTGTCACTTCATATATCTCCATGTCATGCATTGCAAAAATGATACTACACAGATTAGACATGTATACATACATAAATAAAAAATATATAACCATCATAACAAGGAAACTCAAGAATAATCAAGAACTAGAGCACCACATGTTATTCATTACCTCATCCCTGCCCTTACAAAACATAAAAACAACCTTTAACCATCCAAATTCCATGCTCAAAGATGTATACATGCAGTCTCCAAATTTTTACAAGATAGAATGCGGTAAAAGCATGTCAAACTAAATTGGAGTGTCATTTCCTTCAACGTGACACGTTATTATATTGGAGCGTCACTTCCTTCAACATGACACGTTATATTATTATTGGAGTGTAACTTCCTTAAATGTGACACGTTAAGTTATTATTGAAGCATCACTTCCTTCAACGTGACATGTTATTACTATATTGAAACTTTGCTTCCCTTAACGTGATAAGTTATATAATATTGGGTCGTCACCTTTCTCAATGTGACATATTATATTATATTATATTAGACAGTCATTGCACGAATGGTGACACATTATTATTACATTAGTACATCACCACCCTCAAGTGCAAGGTTATATCATGTAGGGACGTCACTTTCCTATAAAGTGACACGTTGGGACGTCACCTCCCTAAAAAGTAACATGTTGGGAAGTCACCTCCCTAAAAAGTGACACGTTGGGACGTCACATTCCTAAAAAGCGACATATTATATTATGTTATTGGATCATCACCTCGTTCAAATTGACACATCACTTTGGATCACCACTTCTTTCGAAAGCACTACATTTGAAATCAGATTGTTATCTCCTTCAGCATGGCATGTTAAACCAAATTAGCACAAATTATATTTGTATTTATGTTACATTTTCTACTAACAATTTTTTCCAAACTTTTCAATATACAAAGTGCACTACGTTAAAATAGGACGCAACACAACGTGGGATTTTTTCTTATCAGCGAACAGGGATATAGTCCAAAAAGGAATATCAACCTCCTAGGAAGCGAGTTAAGGAACGACTTCCACCACAATCAAACCCCATCCCTATCATAAGGTGTGTGGGTATTTTTTGGGGTTTAATAGTTTTAGGATTGCCTTTAGTGAAAATTTCAATTCTCACAAGAGGTAAATATTCAAATTCGAGTGACAATACACCTAGAGCTTTGGAAGACATGTCCAAGTAAGTTCTTACCTATGGGTGTGAAAGACCCCACATTCATAGTTGAGATGTTTGCTTGCCACTTTTCCACGTTCAATTCCTTTGTCACTCATCATTAAGCTAAAGGTTATTTCCGCATAAGAGATTTCCTTTTCAACCGATTGAGTCGAACTACAAACAATCTGATTCACAAAGTTTAGGGATATGTAGGCAAGCTCGATGTTGAAAACTTGACTGTACTCCAACTAATATGTTCTAACTCCATTCTCGAGCTTTTTGATGTCCCCATACTTTCACACCAGAATAGCTTTGGAATTCTTTCGAAATTGTGCACTAAATAAAGTATCTTTCTAACTCCTAGTGGATGAAGTTCTCATGTTACT